TATTGTGTGAGTTTTTCTATTTGTCATGAACCAAGTCTGTTGACACAGACCAAATAAATAATCCTACCAAAACCTAGCCTAGTGAACTGGGGAGTTCACTGAAGTTTACATACAGGATCAGAGATTGAGGGGTGACTTACAGGAACATGGATGACTCAATGATAACTACAGCACCAAAAAAACCCACCCCAGAATGGGTGATGACTCCCAGGAAGCTGCATCGCTGGAGCTCTTTGTACAACTTGCAGGCAGATCAGCCCACCAGTCTCCTCTGTTATTGTTACTGCTTATACAACTGTGGGGAGAGGCCTTGTGAATGTCTTAATTTCTTTAGCCCTGGGAATCTGGTAAGTCTCCTTTCCCAGCTAAGTTCTATGAAGCTCCCTTGATGTGGGATTCCTCTCTGTATGCTGTGATTGCCATTAATGAGTAGAGAAAACTGGCTTGGCCTGATAGGCTAGAAGAGAGCTAGGCAGGAAAAACTAAACTGAATGCTGGGAGAAGGCAGATTAAGAGAGAAGCCGTGGAGCCTCCGCCAGAGACAGACACGTTAAAACTTTGCTGGTAGGTCACAACCTGTGGTGATACACAGATTACTAGAAATGGGTTAAATTAAGATGTAAGAGTTGGCAAATAAGAAGCTAGAGCTAGTGGGCCAAGCAGTGATTTAAATAATAGGTTTCTGTATGACTATTTCGGTTCTGGGTGGCCGGGACGAACAAGTGTCCATCCTCCAACACTCCCTCCCTGCTCCCAGGAGAGGATCTGCCAAGTCTGAGGAAATAGTTACACTGCTGAGGGAGGAACAGTGCCAAGTTGTACTGACAAGAGTGGAGGGAAAACAGAGAGTACCGATGCTGCTTTTTCAGGTCATTCACATTTGAAGCCAAACCTTGTCGGGTTTCAGCGGAGAGCCACCGGATCAATACCTCCAGAGCAGAGCTCCTCAGCTTTGTGTGCACACAAATCACCCAGCGAGGGAGTTAATGTGACAGTCTCATTCCGCAGGTTTAAGGGGGACCCCAGGTTGCTCATCTCTGTCAATATTCATGCTTGGGGTACACACGCTAGATTTGGAAAAGTTCCTAGTTTTGGACTCTGATGCACTTGAGAGCAAAGCTATCATCTCGCTTCTCATTTGATCCCCAGACTTGGCTTGATGCCCAGCAAAGAAATAATTTCTCAATAAATATTTGCTGAAGTGAATTAATGGTGATATTGGCTATAAGGATAAATCTTTTTCTCTTGGTGTTAACTCCTAGCCAAAACCCAAATACATACAAACCAAACCACAATTAAACATGTGCTTATTACTTTGAAGCCGCCAAACACTTTAATTAATAATATCGTATTTGATTCTCAAGCTTTCCACAATTCTCTCAGGAGGAATGATCATTATTGATTTGTTATGGGCATAAAAGCAAAGTCAGACAGGTTGAGTCATTCTCTAAGGAAGGCTAGCAACACAGACACTAGGAAAGTGACCTTCCAGTTTGTTGGGATTCCAAGTTTTCCCCTGCTCCTGGAGGCCAAAACACAGAACTGTTTACACTAAACCAGCTTAGCTTCCTGTTAACTTCTGCTCGATTCTACCAGCCTGGGGAATTAGCATAGAACTTTGTTTTATCTTATGGTAATTTTCTCAACCTGCTCTTACCCACTCAGCCATCTCTCTAGGCCTGGGTTTTTCCAAATTTAATCTTGGTTTCTCTCGTCTTTGATTTACTTCCCAAGTTGTCATAAATTTTCTTCTATGGCTTTCCCTGAAAGCATAGCATGTCCTAGGTACTTAGATAAAAAATAACTTTTGCTCTGACTCCTTTCCCTACCACGTCTGTTGTGTACCTGTGAAGTATCCCAGGGATATTAACAGAAGACATCATATTCGTTAGTGTAAGCAGCAGCATTCTGGAGGCTGTGCCAGGTCAGTGGAACGGGTGGGAGGAGGGGAAGAGAGAAGAGGGTATGTATTATTAATGAGAAGTCCACATTGTAACCATCTTGGATGCTCCTTTTTCCACAGACATGCCTGGTAGTATCTGACCTGAGCATGACCCAGCCCAGGCTCTGCCAATCCATCTTGCTGAGGCTTCCCACCGGGAAGCAGGAAGAAGAGAAGCCAGCTTCCTTCCCCAGGGAGGCAGGTGAGAAAGGACATAGGATGCCATCACAATTGTTTGTGTAGCAAAGCAGGGAATTCCTCAAGGGCAAATGGGAAATTGGAAAACATAATAGCAATTGTAGGCATGAATTTACTTTGCAGGTATCTGAGTGGGAAATATTAACATGCTATCACTTAGGAGCAAGGCATGAGCACCTATGTTTATAATCCACCAGAAACCGGGGCAGTAATGTAGAATTCTAAGTGAAGAGTGTGGTGGTTTGAAGAAAATGGCCCCCAAAGGGAGTGGCACTATCAGGGGGTGTGGCTTTGTTAGAGTAGGTAGGGCCTTATTGGAGGAGGTATGTCACTGTGGGAGTGGGCTTTGAAGCCTCATATTTGCATGCTCAAGCTGTTTCCAGTGACTCAGACCACTTCCTGTTGACTGTGAGTCAAGATAAAAGAACTCTAAGCTCTTTCTCCAGCACCATGTCTGTTTGCATGCTGCCTTACTTACTAATGGACTGAATCTCTGAACTGTAAGCAAGCCACCATGGTTAAATGTCTTTCTTTATAAGAGTTGCCATGGTCATGGTATTTCTTCACAGCAATAGAAACCCCAACTAAGACAGAAGATTAGAAGTCTTGACTTACGACCATGGGTTCAAGGTCAGCTTAGCACTCCTCCTCTTCTTCCACCTTCCCTTCCTTACTTTCTTCTCTTCCTTCTTCTTTGCTTCTTCTGCCTCTACTTTTGGATTTTGAGATAGAATCTCACTCTGTAGCCCAGGCTGGCCTGGAACTTATGATTCTGCCTCAGCCTCCTTCGTACAGGGATCATGGGTGTGAGCCACCATGCCTTACTCATTTCCTTCCCTGTCTTGAGTCCTTTGGCACTGCATTGAAATCCTATGCCTGCCTGTCAAGAAAAGCAGGGGTGGGGGTTGGGAAGTAGTGGGTGCTGGAAAGATGTCTCAGAGGTTAAGAGCCCTGGTTGCTCTACAGAGGACTTGGGTTCAATTCCCACCACACGGTAGTTTACAACCACCTGATACCCTCTTCTGACATTCACGGGCACCAAGCATGCATGTGGTACACATACATATATGTATGCAAAACATACATAAAATAAAAGGGATTAATTTAGTAATTTAAAAAAGGAAAAGGAAAGTAAGCGAGAAGAGAAGTTACCCAGCTTCAGAGGCTGTCAAGGAGCTGAAGCCAGGCAAGGTCAGGGCTAGCAGGGTCCTGACATACGGCCCTGGACCTTGCTCACTAAATGCTGGCCTTAGACATGGAATCCATGTTGGAACCTCTTTCCAGGGCTTGCTGTTTCACTTGGTTCTGTTTTTCTGTGCTGTCTCTGATTAGAGCGTTCCCTGACTGTGCTCCCAGGAGAGCTGGAGGCAATGTTTTGGCAGAGTGTGCACTATAGGTTTCAGCAGGTGGCTCTGGGCTCAGTGAACTAAGAACTTCTGCTTTTCGTTTTCTCTAGCCTCTCAAACATTTCCTGGTTTGGAAGATGTATTTATTGTAAAGGCATCCCTTCCGGTCTTTGGAATGACACCTACCTAGGCTTCTTTGCAGATACAGAGAAGAGAATGGATTACCAGGCAAATGTTCTTCCCTGCAGCACAGTAACAAGAACTGTGAGAAGGAGGCAAATCCAGCCGAAGTCTCGCTTTAGAAGCGATGCTTCAAAGAGTATTTTTTATCTCTTTCCCTGTAGTGCAAACTAGACATGTTTTAAAAATCATATATCAAGTGGTGTTTCGGAAAACATGAAGGAAATGTGCTACACAATTTGCATTTAATGTGGTCAACCCTTGCTCAATGGGATAAATATGAGGCAAGCTAAAAATACCCGAGGGAACCACATACACACATAGCAAACATCACACGTCTCTGATGCTCCCAAAACCTTCTCCTTTCCTTTTTTTCACCTCGCTCTGTGTTACTGGGTAGACTGCATCTCCTACAACGAGGTGTGAATGAGAAGGCTAATAATACCTTGAAGGAGCTGGCAGCAACGGTTCATCCTGAAGCTGCGCAGCCATGTTTAGATACTATAGAAAGCAGCCAAGGAGCAGGGAGGCGAATGTCTTAGCTCGGCAACGTGAGCTGTCTCTACCTGAGCAGAAGAGTACCACATGCCATCATGCTGCACTGCTGATAGAGGACCATGGGAAATAGGAAGAGGTGGTGCACACATGTAGTTGGCCAAGTCTGCCCTGCCTGTGGAACCACGCCTGCACTGGCAGGTACAAGCACTGTACGCTCAAGGCAGACCATCCACTCGGCTGGTAGCTTTCACTTCTGGAGATATTATTCTTGGTGTGCGCTAAGCATCCACTGACGCTTCTCTTCTCGCTGTCTAACAGAGGGCACGGGCTCAAGGAGAGGCAGAAGAAAGGCTACCACCTGACCCCCAGGCCTGAGAAAGAAAGGATGATAACCCTAGACTAGAGAAATCCTACCACAGGCAGCAGAGGGTTTTTAAAAATCAGACGTCTTGCAGTAATCAAGGCAGACTTCATAGGATGTCATGAATGAAAAATAAGAGGGTTAAGGCATGGTGATGTATGCCTTTATTCCTAACCTAACTGGTGATGGAGGCAGGTCACTCTCTGAATTCCAGGCCAGCGTAGTCTACACAGTAACAGGTCAAGCAGGGTTACATAGTGGGGTTCTTTAAAAGAAGACTTAAAAGAAATCTTATTCATTAAAGCATTGTTGGACCTCAAGATTAAGGAAATCTCTCAGCCGTTACACCTGGCTGCTCTGAAGACAGTAATTTATAACCAGTCGCTTGTCTTTGACATTCCGCCCACTCACGTGTTTGCATATCTGAAGACCCATAAAGTACAAAGGCATCCAAATGAAACCCACTCTCTGTTACTGTAGAATGATATGTAATTTATTCATATACTGACAGTAGGCAGTACTCAAAATTCATTTAAATAAGCAAGTGATTACACAAACATCTAGTAATACTAAAATCGATAGTCCCAAAGTATAAAATACCATGGGTATGAAATACCATGGTAAATACTATTCAACAGACTACAATCATAATTCCAAACTAAATTACATTTTGAAGGAGATGATTCTTAGCAGTTTAAGGATGATTTCATTTTTCTTCTCCCAAGCAACTTCTTCCACTGTTTTAAGGATGCTAATTTCAGGAAATAGTGCATGATATCATTGCTAGTTAAAATATTGCCCCTCAACATAGAAAACAAACCAGTCAGACCTCAATCCCCTAAGCAGAGATGCTCGGGTCCGGTAGCGCTAAGGACTAACTCTGGGCTCAGCAAGAGGCAGGCAGTGAGAAACCCTTTGCAGCCTTGGGACGATATGGCTTCTTTTCTAGGGCTCCAAGCATCATACACATATTTACACATCCAAGCCGTGAAGTGATGGGAGTAAAATAAGTTTCTATCCTGATGGCTACAGCACAGCTGCAACTGTGGTTAAGTTAGGCTACAGGCTTGCTGGATTTCACACAGGATGACTCCTATTTAAGCTAATTTCTTATAGCCTCATTACATTTTGGTGAAGTGTAGCTATATGAGCAGGAGGAGTTTGGCTTATCATGTGTCTGTCTGTATTATTTTAAAGTCTTATACTTTACCAGAATGGGGTCCGAGCGTGAACCCAGTTTGAGAAGCTAGCAGCAGTCCTCATGAAACATTTTTTTTAAATAAATATGAACACAGAATGTGATTCAGTTAAATCTCTTACATACAAATTACAGCTAGAGAATTATTACACATTTTAAATATTGAACGATGAGGGGAGGAACAAATCTAAAAAAATAGAAAACTTTCTCCATACCTGGGCGTCAAGGACAGATGCTAACACTGCAGAATGCCACAATATGAGCAGTGACCGGAGGGTAGATACCCCAGAAAGAGTGGTATTTGGGGGATCTTGGAATTATGACCAAGAGATGAAAATACTGTACCAAAAGGCATGCATATATTTGTATATGTATAATCACTATGTGCATTCGGTGTGTGAGCTGTCACCTAAGCAGAGATCTAAGACAACAATGAGGCAGTGTTCTGGGGGACCCATTGAAACCGGCGCAGGCACTACATGTTGATTAAACCCTCAGATGCAGCAAAATGTGGGCACAGCGCCATGTCTGGGTTCTGCAGCTGTTTTATGATCCTCTTGCGGAATTTCTCCCGCACACGATTAAATTCCATTATGTCCATGGGGTCCTCCTCGATCCAAAACTTGTGAAACTCGTGCATCAAATAGCCTGTTAGGGACAAGACAGTGAGATCGTCCTTAGCCACACTCCAAAGCACTGCGGATGAGTTAGACCAAAGCAACAGTCTCTGTGGAGTTCACATGAAACACCAAGGTTTATTATGACCAGTGGGGTAGAAGCTACCAAGTTGCCTAGTTTGCTTTCTCCTTTTGCTGCTAACATTAGAGACATTTTCAGTTCCACAAAGTAGGAGGGCAAACCAATTCTGTCACTTCTTGAATATGAATCACATTGGGAACATATTCTTTTTTATTAATCAAACTCTTTTTTTATGTTTATGAGTGTTTGCCTGAGATGTATGTCTGTGCACCACACTGTGCGCTGTCCCTTGGAGGTCGGAAGAGGGCACTGGATTCCCTGGGACTGAAGATTCAGTTGTAAGCTGCTATGTGGGTTCTGGGAGTCGAATCTGGATCCTCTGGAAGGGCAAGCAGTCAGAGTTCTTAACCACTGAGCAATCTCTCCAGCTCAACTTTGATGTCTGGTCCTCCCTCCCTCCCTCCCCCCTCTCTCTCCCACTCTTTCTACCTTCCTCCCTCTCTCCCTTCCTTTTTGAAGCAAGGTCTATGTAGCTCTGGCTGACCTGGAACTTGTTGTGTAGACCAGGCTGGCCTCAGTTCACAGAAATCCACCTGCCTCTGCCTCCTGAATGTTGGGATTAAAAATATGGGCCACCATGCCTTTATTTTCAAGTATTTCAAAATATTTTCAAATACTTAAGACTATTTATTTGTGTATGCTTGTTGCAGGAATGTATGTGCGCATGCATGTGCACACATTGTAGGGACTATGTGCGCATGCATGTGCACACATTATAGGGACCAGGGATAATATTAGGAGTTAGGTGTCCACTCTCCATCCTATATATTGAGGTGGAATCTCCAGCGTGAACCCAGGGCTTGCCACTTCAGTTAGTCTAACCAGCTAGCTTGTTCTGGGGATCTGTCCTCTGACTCCTGAGCACGGGAACTGCAGATGGACCATCACGTCTACTTGGTCTTTGTGTGGGTTCTGGGAATCTGTGCTCTGGTTCTTGTGTTTGTAAGGCAAGTGCCTTACCCAGTGAGCCACCCTGTCCCCAGAACATATTCTTTTTTTAAAAAAAATTTTGAATCTCATTTTATAAAATAACTTATTCTAGAAAGCTGATAGTGACTCCTTCATCGTTCCCCCCCTCAACTAAATTACACAGTGACTCAGTCTTTCGAAATTACTCCACTCTGCCTTTTGTCCTCTTGATATTCAATTTAACTAAAATTTTAAATTATCCTGACACATCAAACAAATGCATTTAACCATCTATTATGAGACAGTAAGAACTATAAATCAAATCTAAGCTACACAGACTCGTGATCGAGCTTCATAAAATTGCTAATAATACTTCCTTCCAAAGCCCAATTCCATATTCAAATGCTTTTGTGTTCCCAAGCTGTTATCTAGGAACACTCTGGAGTTGAATTTTTTGGAATAAATGTTAAGCATTTGAAGCAAGAATCTGTTTGCTGTTTTTTTTCTTCCCCATTTTATCCCTTCCTTCCAACACATTGCTTGTTTCACCACACATCTAAAATAATTAAAATGTGAATATTTCCTTTAAAAAGAAATAGTATATATTTGTTTGATGTAGTAAATCCCAATGCAACTGCAGACTTCTCTATAAATTAGAAAAAAAAGAAAATAATCCCAGTTCAAAAAAAGAAAAGGTGAATGTTATACAAGTTCTTCTTTGTTCTAACTTGGAAGGTGCCAGAAAATACAGATAGAATGCTGGAGAGGACCTTGGTTGGGCTCTCAGCTCTTTTAATTTTCTATATAAAGAGAACCCAGGAGGGATGAGCAGGGGAAAGAATGGGGGCACTGGGAAAGAATTGAGAACAAACCTACTCAATGGAACAACCCAGGAAAGCCAACAGCTTTTCCTCTGGCCGCTAACAATGGGTGGAAATAGTTCCAACAGAATCCTACTAACAGTTTCAAAATGTCAAATTCAGATTTCACCATAACACAATAGTGGAGGTGTCCCTCCCCAACACATATTGCTTGCTGGTGACCTGGTGACCCATCCACACAAACACACACCTCTCATTCCTCCTCTCATTGCGTGTGTAGGCACGCTTATACATTTTTAAGGACTCAGTCACTCAAGCATAGGAGAAAAGATTTTGCATTTACTTTGGGTTGTCTGTTCTGTTCCATTTCTTCTATTTTTTTTTCTTTCTTTTGACAAGGTCTCTTGCAGTCCAGTCTTGCCTTGAACTCGCTGTGTCGCAGAGGACTTTGAAACCTGCCTGTCTCTCCTACCTCCACCCCACAGGGCATCACCACACCTGGTTTGTGTGTCACTAGGGAGAGAGCCTAGGACTGGTGTGTGAAGGAGAGCACTCTACCAAGCGAACTGCATCCCCATCCCTCTTCTATTTCCTTCAGGGCAATGGACAAGACTGCTTCTTAACATTTCTGATGGAGGCATTCCCTCCCCTTACCCAGCCAGTCTTGACTGACTACCAGGAATCCTGGGAATCAGGTCCACCATCACCCCGGGAGTTGCCTTCTGTTTCCACTCATCTCACCCTTGGGTTCCCTGAGGGGTCCCAAGGCTGGGTATCTCTAGGAACAACATTGACAGTTACATAGATGAGGGGATGGGTTTTTTTTTTTTTAAAGGCCTTCGTATGGCTAGTCTTCAATTTGTAATCCTCCTGCTTCAGCCCAAGAGTCTTAGAAGATCCCTGTGTAAAAAGCTGCTGGCCTGTACTTCATGGACCAAATCTAACCCTCTGCCGCATGCAGCATGCTTTGTGCCCAGCTCTCATTTCCTCTCCAGGGTAAGCATCTGGCCTCCCCATCACGGCTCACGTGCAGTGAATGATGGCGGCCCTTTGTCCCAGTCGTTCCAATACGTGATGACAGCACTGTTTCTTCTGACTCACAGGAACCCAATCCTCTGTCCATTTCAGTGACTGTAACGCTCCTAAAATATCTCAGGGATAGCCTGGGGTAATTTGTTAAACACACAGATCCACCCAGATTCAACTGGAAGAATCTCTGTCATTGCAGTTTAAAACCTAAGATCTAGAAGTCTCCATCTTTTCACATCCCCCCCCCCCGAGGTTTCCTTCTACGAATGTTTCAATTGATATGGTTATAAAAGAAATGAATGAGATTTCACAATTTCTTCTTTTCTTAATATATAAAACACACTTTTTCCAACTGGGCTTTGAGCTCAAATAAACATACTTGAGTTGTTTTGCTAGGAGAGTCAGATTTCTAACATGAATTAAAATTATCCGTGGGCATCCATCTCATTAGTGCCACCAGCACACTTCCACTGACAACGAGAAAGCAGGTACTGTGGGAACCATTTTTTTAATTGTATTTTTGACTGTATTTATACGGTATAATGCGATAAACTGATGCACGGGTATGATGTGGACTATCAAATCAGAATATGTAGCATCTCGATCTCCTTTTAGTGAATGACTTATTTTTCTATAGTACATGTAAAGATGCCCACTTTTCTACAGTGTGCAGATACCCTGGCATCACGCTTTAAAGGGGATGTGGGACATCACGGAGTTCCAGGAGCACTCAGACACGGCCGTTTCCCTCAGTTTTCTATTGTACACACAATTATAAATGACCGTTTGGGAGGGTGATGGTGCTTCATAATCTGATACCAATTTCATGATACTTCCTTGATAAGTACAAAGGTAAATTGCAAATTCAATAGGCAGATTCCCTGGGAATCTCCCTATCTTATCAGGAAATTGAGTAGAGACCATATAACATGACTGCAATAAGAATACAGAAATGGTGACCTGGCTTCCAAAGTCCATATCATAAAACTCCACTCATTTATTACACAACATTCAAATATTCATTTGGCCAGTTGTCTGGTCACCCCATCTACCAATTATGTTTGAAACAGATACACTGTTGGGCGCTGAGGATGGAGAGAAAGGTAGGGATCTCATGTTTCCTAATTCTCTGTCTCTTGGAGAGATAGAGAGATGGGTATTCAATTTCTGACAATGATTTGTTAGCTGAGAAAGCTATCCGTAGTGAAGGAAGAGGAGGGAGAAAGCGGAGTCAATCTACTGCTTCTAGTCTCCAAGTTCATTCATTCCCCAGCACTGCGGGTTGGCCAAGCAGATTTTATATCTGCACCTTACAGAGATGGACACCCGGGTTCAGCCAGGAAGCTTGAATAGTGCATGCTCACACAGTTAACAGCTGGAAGCCAGGGCTGAGACAGCCCTTTTTCCCATTGTCTCTACAGGCTGCCTCCTTGGGGGCTTAATCCTGTGTTAACAGATAATTCGTCCCCTCTTCTGCACGTGTCCTCCCCTCAGCTCGTTATTCCTAACATTCCTAACCTTACCCCGTTACTGTCGGGTTGTGTGTTCAGTCGAGCTTTTGATTGGATGGCGTTTTTGCAACACATTGCCTTGGCAGAGCAGCTCACTGACTAAGACTGTAAAGTCAGGACAATAGAGCCATTACATTCTTATTTCCTTTCCCCTAGATGAAACACTCGTTTTGAATACTAATTTGGCTTGCCATTTGAAGCCTGACACATATTTATTGCTGCTCAAATGTGTCTTGGTTTTGCTTCACTGCTTCCTGTTAGGAGAGCGCAGAGGCATGTGCAAGGACGCAGATAATAGCAAGAGTATTACAGCAGAGGTTGCAGAAGTGACCGTGCCTAGTGGAGGGACAATGAATCCAGGGCATGGTTTGCCTCTTCTGAAGACACCCGGTCTCTCTGACCATAATCTAATCCGTTGGTGATTGCTGCTCTTTCTAAAACCCGAAGAGTATCCTGGGAAATAAGAAATACTGCTTCATGCTAACTTATCTGGGCTAGGACTGTTCTGAAAAACCTATCAGTTGGGTAAGGCTAAGGCATTTGATCAGCTACACCCTCTTTTTCCCCTGAAAAGAGTATCATTCGATATTATAGTATGTTTTCTGTCAGTCCATCCATCCACCCAGTAATATAGAGTTACTAAACACTCCAGTAGGCTGAGCAGACAGCAATGAATAAGACATCTTCTCCTACCCTTAAATGTCAATTCTTCTTGGTTTTAACTCTGATTCTTTCCTGGGAGGTGTCATTTACAGTATGGTTCTGATTTTCAACTTCAAGCAGATGAATTCAAAGTCTGTAGGCAGAACCTTTCCACCTCACCGGATTTCTAGGACTTCTCATAGGAATGTCCATTTTGTCGCTCTGAATAGATTTCCCCAAAGGAATTTACCTTCAGTATGCTTCAAGTTAAACTCATCCTATTTTCTCTTATAAGAGCGTCCCTGATTTCCCGAAGAAAGATGGAAACTATAGAAAAAAGGCAACTTATGAAAGGCTAACAAAATCATGGTGCAAGAGATTTTGTTTGTTATTAGCTATGCGTGTGCTCTCCAACATGGCTTAAAGCTCCTCAAGGTCCATTCCAAATTCTGCTCTTAAATTTCCTGTATTATATCTAACCACACCCACTCAGTGTCATAGCTAGCCATACCCTCTCCACTATATTGTTTGGATTTGTTGTATACTCCTATCTTATGGCCTGTGTCCTTACCACTTCTCTGGCTGTACCATTCAGTGCTCATTGCTTTACCTTCTGCCACCCAGCCTTTGGTTCTCACTGAAAATGGCATTTGCTTTAGGGGGCTCTCTCTGCTTCAGATTCAGTGGGTGATGACAGTCATATGCCTCTGCAGCATTTTGAAACAGTATTTTACTTCTAAGTATATTGTATTTATTTGTTTTGATGCCAGTCTTCCTCAGAATAGACACTGATCTGTGATCAAAACTCAGTAATATTTGTTGGGGGCAGAACTGTTTACAGAAGTGAATATAATCATCCCCTGGTCAAAATGGAAGCTATAAAATGTTAGGTGAGGAGCTTAGATTTTCCACTAACAAGTTATAAAGTAAGTACTTCTTTAAAAGAACACCCTTTTCATTTTCTGCCTGTTATACTTGCATCATTCGGCATCAGCTTAATATGTTTTGATGGGAAAACCAAGCACCATGAAGAGGTAGCCCCGTCTACCCTAGTCCTTGCTCTGCAGTCACTCCAGGTGAGCCTTCTGACTGTCAAATTCTCCAGCACCATAGCCACACTGTATTTAATTTCTGGGCTGTCTTTAACCCTCTGTTCACAGAAGATATGGTTTTAGCCCCTGTTCACCCGCCCAGCCATACTCAGCCCCTTATTGGTTTTAACCCAGGTCTAACTGCCTTCTTTGTTCATTTACTTAGTTTTCCATTGAATTTAAGCACAAACCACTTTCCCGAAGGATGCCTAATGCATCCTAAAAGTGTTTGAACATGGTAAATGTTTGCTCAGTTCTAGAACTTTGTCAAATCTAGATCTGTTCTTTTCAGCCTATTACATGAGACCTGTCTTGGGAGGGCCCCTTTCCTTCACTTACAAATTCCCTTTGCTTTCCTCCTGGAAAGATTTCCTGTTGTCTGGATTCGTTTATTCTTCCTGGGTTTACTCTCTTATTTTGTAGAAACAATGTATTTCTTTAGGAGTTTCTTTGTTAAGTTACGGGGAAGTAAATATTTAAGACCTTATGACTATAAAAAAGGCTGTCTTATTTTGATAGTCAATACTCAGTTGATAAGTTAGCTTGGTAATAGAATTTAAAAGTGTAAATCATGGTCCCTTTGTGCCACCTTAAGCTTCTGTAGTCATCACTCCATTGTGATTGAGAATAAAAGGCTGCTTCCGAGAAGTCCAATGTGATCTTGGTTCCAAAGTTTTCGCGTGACAGTTTTAGAAATTTTCAGCATCACCTCTCCACAGTGTCAAAGTATCTCACAGTGATATAGACCTTGGCTTGATAGATTTTATTCTGTTATATGGATGCTTAGAACTTAAAATATGAAAATATGTCCCTCAGGTCTAAAGTTTTATCACATTTATTTATTTGCTTATTTATTTAGCATGTGTGTGTGCATGCGAGAGAGAGAGAGAGAGAGAGAGAGAGGAGAGAGAGACTGTGTGTGTGGAGAGATCAGAGGACAGCTTGCAAGAGCTGGTCATTGCCTTCCATTGTATAGGTCTTGGGATCAGACTCAGATCTTCAGGTTTGGCAGCAAGTACCTTCACTTACAGAACCACCTTGCTGGTCTGATTGTTTTTCTTGATTTGTGGATTTGTTTCCTTTCCCTGAGTTTCTCCTTTTTGTGACACCCTCGTTCTTCAGGTAGGATACGTCCCACAAGGCCCGTTTATGTCTTTACTTTTCACCAATACCTTTATGCTCTACATTCTAGCCTAGTCTTTCAACCTTACTGTCTAATCTTGTGAATCTCATTTCTGTCAAAACATAGGACCTGGCAGTCAACTCAAGTTGTCTTTAGAGTTGCATTCTTCAGTGTTAAGCTGTGCTAGATCAGAGGGAGACAGACAAAAGTCAGACCTGAAGTTGATACATATATATCATGTAAGAGCCGAGAAAAAGAAAAATCCATGATACCCAGAAATATAAGCATAGGTGTTTAAAGGATAAAATAAACAGACAACAAAGTTAAACTTCCTCCAGGGCCTAACGTAGCTCCATCACAATGATTTCTCAGCTTTGACCCTTGTTGGCTCTGTAGAAATCCATACTGACAATTGAATAATAACAGGACACTTACAGAATGTTTGTTGGAAGTGAGACAGCGTCGGTGCCTCGGGGGCGATGTTGTAGAAATGGGTTTTTAGAGCGCCACTCACAAGCAGATTATATGCCAGATCGGTGATATTGATGCCCACAATTGCAAAGGAGTACCTGCAGGTACGACCCACAAAAACCAAAAGTGTTACACATGGGGATATAAGCACTTCAAAAACCGGCAACCCGAGTTCCAGATTTCTCTTAGACCACCAGAGTGGCAAACCAGCTGTCCATCTTCACCACATCAAAGTCTCGCCCTCTAATTCTACCACAAGGGCTCAGTAGCACGTGCTAAGACAACTGAGAATTCACATGCTTTGGCTTGGTGATTCTACTCCCAAACATATGGTAGGTCAGCGTCTGCAGTGGACAAAGCTTTATACATAAGAATATTTATTACAGCATTATTTACCATGGCATGACATAGACACCACCAAATAGGCTAAAAAGATTCCTAGAGAAATTAATTATGGCAATTTCTGTGTTAACCAAATTATGGTAATTTTACAGCTAACTAAAATTGCATTCTTAGAGATTTTAAAGCAAGACACCTGTGTCGAGCGAGCCGAGATTTAGTGTAGGTGTACATGAGTGCAGGGGAAAACATCTAGAATGGAAAATGGTAGGTCCTTACTATGGGTGTGCAAAAGTGACAAGATGGGCTGGTGGCTGAGTTCTGCTCTGCTTTCCTGTGCTTTTCTAAATTTAACTTTTATGTGAGAAAGTTTTAAGGTATTATTATATTTTATATCCCTCTTCTACAGAAAAGGGAACAAAATTCTTAAATTCTCTCTGTTCTTATATATCCAGCATAGAAATATTTCTGAATGGAATAGGCCATTAAGAACATTTATTAATTTGTTTACTTATCTGTGTGCGTGCATGTGACTTCATGTGCCATGGCATGTGTGTGTGGGAGCAAAGAGACAATTGAAGCATTCTTTCCTTCTACATATTCAGGTCATCAGGTTCGGTGGCAAGTTCTTTTACCTGCTAAGCTATGTTGTCAGGTATTTAATGTTAAACTTTAAAACATTTTTTACATTTTATTTCATTATTTTGTGAGTATTGATTTTTTTTCTGAATGCATATCTGTGTACAATGTGAGTACCTGTGCACATGGAGGCAAGAAAGGGGCATTGGATCTTCTGGAACTGGAGTTACAGATGGTTGTGAGTTATCATGTGGGTGCTGGGAATCAAACCTAGTTTTGCAGTCCCTGGGCCAGGGCTGACAGTCCTCATGTACTGTCCCACACTTACCCAATTGCTTTATCCATCCTTTTCTTTTCCCATTCTGCTTTGCTGAATTTGCTGAAAGAATGAATAAATAAATGAACGTTTATTGTTTAACGTAGTCTTGCTCTCTTTGAATGCTTATACTAAACCACTAACTACATATGGAGTAACATGTACCTCTATTAGCGCACTAATCAGCCTGAATATATCACCGCTACAGGCAGCAGTACAAGCTCGACATGAGGGCACACTGCTTGAATCCCATCAATCCCAACTTGTGTTGTTGCTTTTAGAGTTGATATATTCAAACTGATTAGTGTTAGATAGTGTACATAAACATAGGGTAACCGTTTTAACATATGCCAGTGCAGGAAGATTTTGAGTTCAAGACTAGCCTGGGTTATATAGTAAGACCTCGTCTCAAAAACAAACTTTAGCATTGGCGCTACATACACTTTTTAAATCCAACTAAGCGGGAAAAAGGAGAGTTTTCTAGAACAGATGGCAAATGACACACCACAAACACTCATGGACTACCACAGCACACAATCACAGAAACATAGTACAGGATGGAGATTTACACAAATGAGCTTCCTACTCTATGAATGATTGGCTATGATGCCAAATAACTGCTGGAATTCATGCTAAAACATCTCTCCTATTTATAAAGTGTGATTCCTAACCAACAGAGTAAACTAAAGCAGCACCCAGGAGAGTTTTGCCCAGATTCATCTTCAAAATGAATTGAGTTGCATGTGAAATTAAAAAATGTTCTAAGTGTCCATTCACAGTAGGTCTATATTTACTAAATGAAATCTTGTGTCTGTATTTGTCAAATGAAACCTTTGTATTTGAAATATAATAGAAGGCCAAGTAGCTTCTATTCGTTTGATAACTTATAAGATAGTCCCTGAGTAAACAAAAATCAGCAGGCAGAATTCTCCTTGCAAGATTGCATCTACCTTTATCCCTCAAGTTACTCAGGACCCTATGATCAGTCCCCGAAGCAGCAATGTGTCATGTTTGCTGAAGGACAACTGGGAACTTGTCCTTAGTACATCCATGTCTCCCTGCGGAATACCTGGAATGTGCAGGGTTTGATAGAAGCTATGCTAATACCACAATTGGTAAAAATCTCAGAAAATTATATAAGAAATAGATTAGCGTTCTCAAGACATTCTGATTCCGGCTTGGTGACCTCCACTATCAGCTGGAAGCAAAGAATAGCAAAGCATCTTTCTCTTTGACTGGGTTGCAGCTTGAGGGGTAAACTAGGTTCCTACGCAGCACACACAGAGGCCAACCTCCTGAAGAGCGGTCCAAAGTGCCTTAAGCCTCGCTGATGGCCGCTGAGGGAGCCGCGACTGTGGAGCCTCTGTCTACCCTCCCCTTGCTTGAGGATGGCTCACTGACAAAATTCATCTCCCTTCCACAGTTACCCCCCAAATATTTTAAGCTTATTGTTACTACCCCAGGACCAAAGAGTATCCATGACTCCTGGTTCTGATCCGAGAAACACCACTTGGAAACACACACAGACTCGCAGCCGGCTTTAATTAGAAGGAGTTCATAGGCTCCACAATGCAGGACTGTGCAATCCAGAAGATAGAGTTTAAAAGCCAAAATAGCTTGAGGTTGATCATGCAGTCTGTCAAGAAACATCTAGATGATTTTAATATTTTTCTTGAAATAAATGAAAGTAAAGAAACTGAATTTTTAATCTCATAAAAGACTATAAATGTAAGTTTGGGAAAGAAATATAGTTTAATGAACCTTAGTCAACTGGGGTTAGGAGGAAGATAATAGTAACATCAGGGAAATAAACCCCAGTCAACCAATTCCTGAATTTTAAAACTGCTATAATATAACTTTAGGTTTATTTAGCCAGTAATAACTGAGGACAAAAAAAATAATTTAATGGGACCAGGACAGTGAAATAGGAGGAGTTCTCAGAAGAAGAGCCACTGACTTATATATTAACTACTATTTACAATTATCAAATTGGAAAACACATCCATCCAAGCCAGAGTGGTGAGGCAGGATTTTAATCCCAGCTCTAGGGAAGTAAAGGCAGGTGGGTTTCTGGTCTACATAGTGAGCTCCAGCCTACCCACAGCTTCATAAAGATAGTGACCTATGACTGCATAATGAGACCGTGTCTCAAAAATAATTACTAATCGAAGAACAAATTTTCACTATGCAAGAAAATTCTCAAATAAAATGTCCCTTGAGGAGATTAGGACATGTTTGTGAGATGGTCACCTCTGCAGAGAAAGGGATTATATGCCCCTCAAGGTGGGTATAAGCCTGGCTTCTCGACCCTATCGTTAGAGTACATCAATCTGGATTTTAGCTAATAAAAATGCAGCTGACAAGTGATCAACCATATCAGATTAAAAGTTGGTGAATGTTTGCCTTTAAAGGTGGTTTTTCACAAATCTTTATTTTAGAAATTCTTATTCTATTGATTCTAAAATAGAATAAAAACAACAAAACACAAAAAGCAAAGAAAAATACCTTATTTCCTCTTTAGTGATATCCCTTCACGTGTTCAGTCAAAGAAAAGAAATCAAGTAAATGGAAATGCAAGCATAGCCCTGAACTTTAAAACAAAAGAGCCTCAGAAAGTCCGGCTTTCTCTGTCGGGCCTTGAATTCCATTCTTCCTTATGCCCACACCATGCTCCCTTGTCTCTGACTTCTTTCCTCCATGTCTGGCCCTCCACACTCACCTTTCATTTTCCTAGACACTCTTGACACACATCTCTACCTTCTGAGTCCTGAGGTGAGTATCTGAAGTGCTAGCCTTCCTGTTAGGCACCTGTCCAAAGGGCTGGCGAGAGCGTTTACAGCTTGGCTCCCAGTGAGCTGGCTCTCCTGATAACACTTCTCTATAGATCCATGTGGAAAATGCTATTTACTGACTCCCCCCCCCAAAAAAACCCCCAAACCTGAACCATCTTTTATTCGGAACAATTACCTGCATTTTGGATGAAGAGAGTCGGAGAGGACCTGCTGAGCCACTGTGGCATCCCGTTCAGCGAAGTATCTGCAGGCAGAGGGAAGGAACATCATGATTGCACTATCTGTAAGACAGTCACCCTCACCTGGTGGGATGCCTCTTGGCACCCAGAGGTAGACACTGGCATGAGGTCACCGCTCTTCCAGAGCCAACAGACTTGAACACTTAATTATGAACTTTGTTACTACCCAGAGAGCCAAGCCTATAATCCAGCATTCTAGATAAGGGGTGGGTGGTTCTGTGCTGGGAAGACCCCAGATGCAGGAGCTGAGAGAAACAACAAGGTGAAAGGGAGAGACAACTCTAGGTCCTCCCCTCCCCTCCAACTCCTCCCCTTCCTCTCTTTCTCTCTTTCTCTCTCTCCCTTCCTTTGTCCTTCTATCCTTCCTTTCTTCCTGTGTTTTTTTTTTTTCATAGGTAGTGCATTTTGCAGCTCAGGTTAGCACTGACCCCATTACACGGCCAAGGATGCGTCCTGATCCCCTAGCTTCTGTCTCCCAGGAGTTAGGATTACAGGTGTGAGCCACAATGCCCAGATCAAATGCATCCTTCTTAGAAGGCAGTCACACTGGATTTGGATTCATCTAATAGAACTTAGGGATGTTAATAAAGTGAAGCTTCTGTCTAATAAACATAAAAACTCACACCACCACCAAAGTACTTCATAAAAAGTATTTAACAGGGCAATAATAAAACTATATTATAAGCCCAAATTACTAATGTATGACTCTATATTTTATTACACAAATCTAAGGGGGGCACAGGAAGATTAAAAGCAGCAATTTTATATTTGTTTATTGTGTGTGTCTGTGCACATGTGCTGGTCAGAAGACAACTTAATGGAGTCAGTTCTCAGCTTTTGTTATGTAGGTTTCCGACCTCAAACTCAGGTCATGGCCTTTGGCAGCAACCAATTTTCTCTGCTGAGCCAATTCAAGGTCCAGGATTGATATTTTTTAGAGGTACATATTGAAATATGAGAGGTGAAATGGCAAACAGTATAGGATTTTTATTAATATTTTTGTCTAAAAATAATGTTGAAATTTCTGAATTCAGATTATCAATATAAAAGTTTTTTACATATTCTCGAATATTTCATAATAAAAAAATTAAAAATACATATCTAAGAGCAGCTTTAAAAATTCTATGAAGTCTGTTGAAACACAGGCAAGGTGCTGGCAAGTTTGTCTGAGCCTGAGTTTCCCCTCAGATGATTTGAATATTCTTCTGGCTTTTGAAAGTGATGGTTCTACCTTGGCATTTCAATACCAGCAGACCGGGGCATCGCTCTAATGTTCAACTCTTCTTTATTCTACTCACTGTAAATTATAAAGTCCCAGGAGACCCATTCCTCGAAAATCCGTTTTTGGATCATCGCCTTGGAAACCGATCTCACACCACTGCTTAGAAATCCGAGATTCCAGGGGCGTGTTGGGCTTCAGGAACTCCCATAGCTGCAGCGGGAGAAAAGAGAGCCACTCTTGGGTGTGCACGCGCAAGTGCCCTGTCCTATTGGTTCGGATGCTGTGAGTTGTATTCTTGCAGAGGGCATTGCACAGATGAATACAGACACAGATTTACAATAGCAGTTTTTAAAGGTGACCCCCCAAAAGCAAAATGTTATTTCATAATAAGAGCAGGAGGTTAAACACCTTTACTCCTTCCTCAAGAGTGAACTGTAGAATGTTCTTATGGGGCTGTTGCTTTGAAGGCAATAGAATGCATGTATGTATATTTTAGTGTTTTAAACCTTTATATTTTTGTTCCTAATCAACAAGGTAAAGAGATAAATAATATCCTACATCAATGTGCTTTTTGGGAGGGTCACTAAAGTATTTAAGACTACAAAGGAAAAAGGGAATGGAAAATGTTGAGGTCACCTGTTGTTCAACTCCACAGAAACCTTTTTCTAACATTCCACCAACAACTGAGCATGAACACCATGAATAAAAACAATAGCACACTGACTCAAGTTTCATATTTTAGGTCTCATCTGTGACGGGAGTGAGAGCAAATACCGTACAGATAAAGGAACACTGGCCGTACTCACGAGTGAGCCTCAATACACAGTATCATCTTGAAGAGTTGCCTAAAATAATTTCATTCAAAATCAACTATATCCCAGTGGAAAATATAAATTCAGGACCTTAAACTCTTTACTGTTTTATAAATTATAAATTTCCCAGGATTTCTGTAGAAAGCTAGGTTTAGTGCACATCATAATGAGAGAGCTAGGTAGGCAGATGGCAGGAATTACAACCCATGGCTCTATATAATACGTAATGTTTAAGCGTTTGTGGAGCTCTGAGCCTCCTGATTCGGATGCTGGGAATCGGGTTTGGGTCCTCTGGAAGAGCAGAAAACACCCTTAACTGCTGAGCCATCTCTCCAACCCCACAAATATTATATAAATCCAAATATTACATTTTAGTTTTTGTATCTGTATTTTGTGTATGTATGTGTTAGTGTGTGGTGTGCTATGTATGTGTGGACATGTGTGCACATGTCTGTTCATTTGAGCGGGGCCGGAGTTTGGTATTGAGGGTCTTTGTCAATTGTTCTTTATCTTGTTTTATTATTATTTTTTTAACCCGAAGCTCACCAGTTCAGCTAGCCCGGCTGGCTAATAAGCTCCAGGGAGCCTCCTGCGTTTGCCTGCCCTGGATTGTAGGATGCAGAAACATGCCATCCCACTTGGCTTTTGCAAGGTGCTGCAGGTTCAAACTGCAGGACCTCAGGATTGTACAGTAAGCGCTTTGCCAACAGCCTTTTCCCCAGCCAAATACTGTGTTTTCTTCCAACTCTTTCAGAAATAGTTAACCTCCTGAATGTTTATTTTATATTAGGTGAATTTTAAAGTTTCAACAAAAGAGTGATATAAAATTATCTTGTTTTATTGTGAATTGTCACATACCAGGCACTGTGTAAAGTATAGTAAAAGCAAAAAATACAAACAGGTAGAAATCTGCAGTTCAGAGGTAGAGAGAGAACTTGGCAGTAATGTGCTTGTTACACAGTATGAGGGCCTGAGGTAGATTCCCAGAATTCTGTGCAAAAGCTTGGAATAATGGCTCCTGCTTTTAATTCCAGTTCTGAGGATGTAGAGAGAGAGAGGGGAAACGCTAGAATTTGCTAGCACCAGGTCAACGAGAAGCACAGTCGCAAAAAGCAAGGTGGGTGGACTCTGAGGAGTGACACCTGAAGGTGACTTCTCACCTCCACAATCACATGCACAAATGGGCACATGAGCCCATACTTGTGTGCAGGCACCTGCACGTGTGTGCACCCCTCTCCCGCAACCCTGCCGTTCTCTTTCATGTATTGTGGTTATTATAGGCACAACTCTAATACTACTTCGTAATCAGATAAAATATTTACGCTCGTGTCACAGCATGCCAGGTCAACTTATCTAAAGATACAGAGACAAGGAGACATGGTGGTATGTGCCTGAAATCATAGCACAAGGGAGGTAGAGGCGGATGGATCAGGAGCTCAAGGTCAGCCTTGGTAACAACGTGAATTAAAGGTTCGCCTGGGTTAGCTGAGCTTATAAACTGGGGCAGCAAACCCTGCACACAGTCTTTGTAGACTGTGCCGTAACTACTTTTCTTTTTGTCTTCATAGTAGGATAGCAACCAGGGACAACAGAAACACACACACGGCATCGTGACCATAAAACACTAACAAAAATGGGTGGTAATGTGGCCCATGTACCTTTGCTTGCTGATGTTTGTCCTAAATGATTTTGCAGTGTAGGAAGCAGGACTATCATCACCCATCTTAAAGACGAAGCTTGAACTGGGGCAGTCAGGCACCAGCCCTGGCCAGGCTCTGCAGATGCGAGGAGACTAGGCACGGTTTCCTCAGAAGAAATTATTGCAGTGCAGTGGCGGGAGCATTTTCTAGTGACGTGGGCCTGCACGGCCACCGTGCAGCCTGTTTTCTCACCCCCCCTCCAAATGGAGATAATACAGTACATCAGCACAAGGTTATTGTCAGAATGGAAATGGAGAACTCAGTGCAGAATTTATTGTAGTGGCCAGAACACAGCAAACACCCAGCAAGTGTTTCGATAATATGATGTCATTACTCTCATACTTGGAAATTCAATTACCCAGCAGGGCAGAAGAAAAATCTCACCTCTGTGTGTTTGGGGAAATTATTTCAAAATCCAATGAATAAAGATTAAGAAAGCCAGGTGGTTTCTTCTGTGAGAGCAATGAATAACAACGGGAAGAGCATAAGCAAATTCCTGGGCACTTGGTTGTCATGGCCTAGCCTGAGTTGTGGTGAGATGCTCTGTATGTAAAGGACAGGGATGCAGCAGATAGAGCTGAGAGAGATACATCAGGATGGGGCCAAGGTGCAGTTCCGAGCAATATGGACTCTACTATAGGACACAGCAAGTTTGAAGGTGTTTTGTTCTGCTTGAGAAAACATCTTGCATATAGCCCAGACTGGTCTTTGGGCCCCAGTCATCTTTGCGTCGGTCTCCCCAGTGCTGGGGTTACAGGTGTCTGGGGATATTAATCCATCTTAATGGCTAGACTTGTCTCCTAAATCCTCTCTGTCAGTATGAAGAAGATGGAAGGGGAGAGTCTTATAGTCAGGCTCAGAATTACAAGGCTGTAATAGCGAAACTGGAGACGAAGGCAAGAAGGGAATGGGTACGGACCCACTGGAGACATTTTGCTGTATCGTGTGGATAATAGTTAGGGATTTCTGGAGATGCAGAACATGTCCTGATTACATTGCAAATCACGTAAGGGTAAAAGGGGAAAGACTGTCATAAAAAGGTCTGACTCAGAGCCAGGCACGGTGGCTCACACCTGTAATCTCAGCATTTAAGAAACTGAGGCAGGAGGATTGCCACAAAGTCAAAGACAGACTTGGCTACATAGTGAGTTCAGGACCAACTCACAAAAACATAGTGAGACTTTCTCTTAAGACAAAAAAAATAAAAAGCAAAAGGTGGCAGACCTGATGGTAAATAGTTCTGGCTTTATTATTTACTGATAGGCGATAGGCAGACAGTCCACCTGAACTAAAATAAATATAGTTTTCCCACCTCTAAAATAAAGAAAATAATCACTACGTGATTCTTTAGTCATGACATCAGAATGAGAACATGTGCGTACTCAAATCACAGCCATCGATAAAAGTCAACAGACTAGCCCAGGGGGGCTCAACCTGCCGAGTGCAGAGACCCTTTATGTGGTGACCCCCAACCATAAAATAATTTTGTTGCTGCTTCATTACTGTAATTTTTCTGCTGCTAGGAATTGTAGTATCAGATATATTTGGTATGCAGGATAGCTCATGTGTGGCCCTGTGAAAAGGTCATTTGAACCCCCAAGGGGTGGCAACCCACAAGTTGAGAACCCCTGGACTAGTCACGTGTGTCTGACAAACTGGATTTCACTGGCTGAAGTAGACATGAAACTAACAAATAGGATTTGGAGGCCTGTTATGTGCCAACTTCATCTGTTCTTAACATATTCGTTGTGGAATATTTGTTACACTGTGTGAAGATGTGTCACTGTGATTGGTTTAATAAAGAGCTGGATGGTCAATAGTTAGGCAGGAGAGAGTAGGTGGGGTTTCCAGGAAGAGAAAGAACTCTGGGGAGAAGAGAGGTAGGAATTCGACAGTGAGACTCAGGGAAGCAGGATGTGCAGTAGAGAGATGAGGTAACGAGCCACACGGCAGAACGTAGATTTAAACATATGGGTTAATTTAAGTTATAAGAGCTCTTTGGAAACAAGTCTAAGTTAAAGGGCAAATCTTCAAAATTAATAAGTCTCTGTGTCTTTGTGGGCTGGTGGTCCTGACGAGAAAGTACTACTCCACATATAGCTAAGTGTGACGGCTAGTCTTGACTGTCAACTTGACCACATGTGGGATTTACAAAACCCCAAGCAGCTGGGCACACCTGTGAGGGATTTTTCCCAGATGGGTCACGTGATGTGGGAAGACCCACCTTAAATCTGGGCCACACCTTCTGGTGGCAGCCCACATAAAAAGTCATGGATAAAGGACTTTCTTTTTTCTTTGCCTGCTTGTCCTCACTCTGGCTGGCAAGTTCATCTGTCCTGTCCTTGGGCCTTTGCTGATGCTAGAACCACCAATTCTATCAGCTGCTTCAGGATTTCTTCAGATCAGGACCGATGAGACACCCAGTCTGGTGGGTTAAACCACTGTGTGATCTATCAGGAGACAGCCATTGTTGGGTTACTTGACCCATAGCTGGTAACTCACTCTAATAACTCCATTTTTAAAGTACATATTCATTCTGTCAGTCTTGTTACTTTAAAGAACCCTGACTAATGCACTAAGGTGCTATAGTAAGTCATTAATTCACCTCCCTTTTATGCTGAACACTTACTATAAGCCAGCTCATAAACCAGATCAGTCACAGAGCCAACATGCAAATGCCATTAGCTAATTTTGAGTTTATCTTGGCCTGTGAAGCATTTCAGACACGGATAGCCAGGCTGTCAACTATGCTGATTCGTTTCATTTTCATTCACCTTGATCCTAGCTGTTAAATCATTTTGGTGCGTTTGACAACCTCCATCAGAAAACGGTCAGGGGGATCGGCAATAGGAGAAGCCAGAACCCAGCTAACAGGCTAGCTAAAACTAACAAGAGAGAAAGAGAAGAAGGCATGCTATTGCCAAGAATGAGATTTCTTCAGTTTTTAATGATCACCTCAGATCCAGCACTAATTAGTAGAGACAAATGAATCACCAGCCTACACACTTGCATACACAAAAACATGCACTCTTTCACACAAAACACAAGATGCACTAAAAACTTACGTCTGTGACATTTTCAGCTAAACAAAGGTGAGACAGATAAACAAAGGCTTTCTTCTTTTTTTGAGATTTATTTTTAATCGCCTATATGTGTGTATCAGTGTATGACTACCCCTACGTAAGTGCAGGTACCTGATGAGGCCAGCAGGGGGCATCAGATCCCCTGGTGCAGGCATGATTGGCTCTTGAAAGCCAGCAACTTTAAGCAGCATGCTCTCTTGACCGGGCCATCTCTCCAGCCCCTCCCCTAGTTTTGTCGCTGCCTATTTGAAATTTAGAAGGAGACAGAGAGCATTTGATGCCAGCAGAGTATCTATTTTCAGAAGTGAATGTCTAAAACGTTTTAATTCAGTTAGTACTTTCAGATGTTGGTCTGAATTTTATTCTTTGGACTGGACTGACCTCATCCACTGGTATTTTATTGCTGTTTTCTGATGATGCAGCATCAGAGCTCCTAAGACTTGAACAAGGAGTACTTACAACTCCACATTGCCTTCCTGACAGTCTCGGTGCGCCAAGTAAAAACCTTTACCTCCTCTTTGAACATTGGCCAAGTTACATGAATAAATAATCATCAGGAGGATCTTGGGTAATTTCCCCAGAGGGCTATTGCTGAAGCAGAAATCAACCTCATTGCCTTTGATGTGTATTAGAGTCGTAAGTAAAAACCCCCTGACACTCTGACAAATGCTCTCTCGTTTCTCCTGCAGCTTTCAACGCGTTTGAAGCAACGCAAACTTGAGACAAATGCGAGGTGCCACTCCCCCATAGAAATAATCTCTGATGCTTTCTCAGACTATAATATAAGAGTCAACTGGCTTTAAAGTTAATTTCTCATATGAATTTTCTGATGAAAAAATAACCCGCAACCAGCAAGAGAACTCAGCCTTGACAGTCCGTCACAGCTCCCATGTCTTCGTACCCTCAGCTTTGTATCCTCAATGCAAAAAGACTGCCTGACCTGAGAGCTTGGTAGTTATTAACCGACATTAGGGAAGGACTCACCTTCAAAAGCATCTCTTCGTGTTGAGGGTTGTCGGAATCGTAGGGCTCTCTGCGTAGCTTTTCCACGTCTGCGATGAGGTTTCTGTAACCCACAATTTGCAGAAGGCAAGCCTGGAGAGAGATTCCCAGCCTAAAGTACAGAAGAACCGAGTGTGGGAAAAATGGACCCATGTGCCATTGGCATTTGCTTCCTTGATGCCTGTGGGCTAGCAGTTTTTATGTAGTTTCATGTACATATTCAGAAACACATATTCATGTATATAATCACCCTTCCTTTTTCTCTTTCTTTGTTTTCCCAGGCAGGGTCTCATGCTGCAGGCCAGGCTGGCCTAGAACTCACTCCTTAGCCTAGGCTGACCTCAGATTCTAGACAATCCTCCTGCCTCGGGCTTGCACCATGCCTGGCTAGAAGCACAATTTTGTTGAACTGTGAAAATCCTTTCCCTTCATTTTAGCTTTTTCTTAAGTGCAAGTTTAACTGTTTGGCTTAAAATAAACAAGGAAGACCTTCAGGAAGGTGGCTTGAAAGATGTGAGGACAGAGTAAACAACAGGCGGGTATTGAGGCAGGAATATTGGATTTACTTCAAAAGTCTGTGCATGAGAGGAAGAGAGAGAATGAAAGAAGGGAAAGAGGGAGTGGGCTCTCAGGGGATTCAGAACAAGAAACTTTTCTAGACAAAACAGAAGAAACACCACAGCAGCTGTCTGTGGTGGGTGTGGGGACGGTGGCTGTGGTGACGTCATGTCTGTGAATAGTGGCCCAAGGAGGGAGGGAGTGCCACGAGCGACATCTCTCCTTTGCAATATTCTTTCCAGAGTCCAACCACTCTACACATCTGGATACTTTCCTATGTGGAAATAAACTTTGCTCTTTTTTGTTACCAACTGGACCGAATTCTGTGCTCTGAACAGATTTACCTCCACCACTCCCCCCAGGCCTAATTATTTTATGATGTCTACTCTTCTAGTCCAGGGGTTCTCAGCCTTCCTAATGCTGCGGTCTTTTAATACAGCTCCTCATGTTGTGGTGACCCCACCATAAAATTATTTTCGTTGCTACTTCATAATTGTAATTTTGCTACTGTTATGAATATTAATATCAGAAACTAATGATATGCAGAATGTCTGATATGTGACCCCTGTGAAAGGGTCATTTGACCCCCAGTAGTCAAGATCCATAGGTTGAGAACCGCTGTTCTAGTCTCATTTACAGGGTTAGGGGAAAAAGCCCTATCCCTTCAATTCCCTCTCATGGGGCATGGCTTCTGATTCATAAGGCAAACATTTTGCTGTGAATGCATAGAATGTTGAATATATCTAATCTATGTGTATATCTGTAACAATAATAATTAAAGAAAAAGAAGCCATGAGTTTGAGAGGGATGGAGGCAGAACATGGGAAGGCTGGAAGGGAGGAGAGGAAGGAGGAAATGATATAATTATATTTTAATCAAAAAATAAAAGTGAAAACCAGTTTTAAAATTTTAATAAAGATTATTTATTATTTGTGTGTGTGTGTGTGTGTCTGAGTGAACTTATGTGCACCATGTGCAAGAAGGTGCCCACAGAAGCCAGAAGAGGGCATCAGATCCCTTAGAACTGGAGTGTTAGGTAGCTGTGAGTTACCATTTGGATCCTGGGAACCAAACCCAGGCTCTCTGCAGGAGCATTAGTGCTCTTAACTGCTGAGCCAGCTCTCCACCCCATAAGAAAAATTTAAAACTATATTTATTACATAATTAACTCAACCTTAATGTCTGAACGAGGCAAAGCTATAGCTCACTAGCACATGAGACTATAAGAAGATGCTGCAGAGACCAGGAGCAAATGGAGTTTTTTGACCAAGCTCTTGTATAGATGGAGAAAGAGCAACACCTAGCAGACTCTGAAATCCCATCCAACTCTGGCTCCATCTTCGTTATTAACAGCCTGTGACATTTGATGCCCTCACGCACATAGATCTACAAGACAGTTTGATTGTTACGAACCTCAAGCTGTGTCTAAATATACCGCATTTAGAATTCATTCTCCTTAATGCCTTTAAGGTCCAAATTCTACTGAAAAAATTGCTGCACCCAATGGAAAATATAAAGCTAATTTTAAATGTCACGAACATTGCCAAATGCATTTTAATACTTCCAAGATGAGAGGAATAAATTATAAAGTTCTGAAGTATTCATATAAAAATCGTCTCTTCCTCCCACGCACGCCTGTCTTCTTGACAAGCAGGTAGGAACTGTCTCCAAGATTATCAGCCCGGCATGATGGAATATTCATGAGGGAACTGAAGGAATATTCTAGATGGAGCAGGATCAGTATAAGCACACTTATGATTTGAATGTATGCAATTAATGTACAGCACCGAAATCAAGTCATGTCCTGAAGATGAATGGGCTCCCTTGATCTTGTGTTTTGATATTAGTTTTCACTTCCCCCACCCTTTTCCGACTCATAGAGACAGGACCATAAGCTTACAAACCAGAGAAAGCCTGAAGTCATTACCATTTACATACACGAAGCACCTCCATTTTACTTAATCTTCATCTGAAAGTCAAAACACTGCAGATAATTATTTTGAAGAGGGAGGGGTGGAAAGAGGGAGAGAGAGAGAGAAAGAGAGAGAGAGAGAGAGAGCCATGTGATTTGGGGTCTATATTTCTCACATGCAAGTCCAGTTCTTACTGTGGGTTGATGTCAGGGTTGATGTTTTTCAGCTCCATGATGTCGTCGATAGTCTTTTCGATGGCATCGGGGTGAACGCTCACTGAGGTCTGCAGCAGCTGGAAAACATCTTTCCATCAGTTTCTCCCATTAGCAGCCGTGGCTTACATACCCCTGGGATGGAGGCTTCAACTCTACACCTCTGTATGAAAGTGGGCACTCAAAACAGACTGACATGGCGTGTTTGGATCCCAGAGCCTTCTGTGTTTCCACAGCTGGGGTAGCGCCATTTGCCCAGTCGAGGTATTTGACGTAAAGCTGGCACGTAAAAGGCTTGGGCTTTGCTTTACTCTTTTTGTCATCATTTGTTTTAAGCTATTTATAGGACACTGGCATGGCTCCTTTTTCACATCATAGAATGAGGGCCCCAGGGACATAGTCTAAAGGTTGCCAAAGTTAAAGAAGATGAGATAAAATTATCAAAAATCTTGCAAAATAAAGCAGTTTTTTTCTGTATGTATGGGTGTTTTACCTGTGTGTTTGTCTGCGCGTGTGCACAGTGCACTTGAACTTCAGAAGAGGGCGTCAGAGCCCCCCCACATTGGAGTTACTCTTGCTAATGAGCCCATATGGGTGCTGGGAATCAAACTTGGGTTCTCTAACCTGTCCTGGAACTCACTCTGTAGACCAGATTGGCCTTGAACTCAGAGATATACCTCCCTTTCCTCCCGACTGCTGGGATTAAAGACATGCGCCACCACCACCCAGTTATTATATTCTTGTTTTATGATTTAAGAGATGCTATAAAATGAGTTAATTTAATATAGACTAAACTTTACAAGTGCGCCTAGAAACTGTCATATATGCAAAAATGTATTTACTTCCCGTTTACATTAGCTTTTTGTCAGTGATCTATTTTGCTCTTGCAAGTTCAATTTTAGTTTTTATTGTCTTAAAGTACTTTATTCCATCGTGTGCACATCTGTGCAAGGTGCACACACTGCGCAGCATGAGTGCAAGTCAGAGGACGGCCTGAGGAGTCAGTTCTTCCATGTGGAACCTGGGGATCAAGCCCAGACTTGGTGGCAGTCACCTTTACCAGCTGAACTATCTTCTGCTCCACAGGTTTTATGTTTCATGATCAAAGTAAGACCCACAGTGAAAAATTACTGAAAAATAAGAAAACAATTTACTTACCTTACTTTTTGAATCCCTCAGTGATGTTTCTGTTGAAGTAATAACACACACAAATGCCATTAGCTATAATGAGTTATAAATGTTTGACTATGACTTATTTAAATATTATATTGCTTTCTCAATCCACCAACTGTGAATTCTGCCCTCCCTTCCACTCCTCGCTCACCAATTTTCATGGTTCTAGACGCTCCAGGCTTGGTGCTGTAGCAAATTCTTTGCAGTTCACACCTTCCTGTGAGCTTCCGCATCACGAACTTCATGCAGCGCCACAAAAACTTACAGTAGAAATACAGGCACACCTGGATCAGCATCCTGTGGGGAACAAAAGACAGCGCCCTTCCCATAGAAAGCTGCGAGAGAAGAGAAAGCAGCCACCACCAGCAAGAAAAGAAGCCAGGAAGAAAACCAGCCATTAGATCTCAGCATCCACAGGTGTTCATCCCTCCACTTCTGAGAGGGACAGTTACCATGGCTACACAACTCCAACAAGCTGAGGGGGAAACCCTGGAATTCTGTTTCTCCCATCTTTGTCTAAATATTTTGGAACTCAATCAGTGTTAATATGGCCTCTGCCTGAGACTTCGGGTGGGGATGCTTCCTCTTGCCTGGATGAATGGCTGCTCACCATTCCCCATCTCATCCCCACCCCATCCCCACCCCGCCTCTAGTCTTAATTCTACTCATGCCCCACTGCCAGCATTTTCTCTTTTCCTTTCTCTCATCGTTTCCTGTCTCCCTTTCCCCTGGCTTCTGCTGTTCTCCTTTGGTGGTGTGGCTGCTGCCTTCCTTGCTGACCAATCCCAGCATGCCTTGCTCCTGCCCGAAGGCCTCCTCATCAGTTTTCAGAGGAGGCACTTTTGACCTTTTATTCTTACTCCAAGAGGACAATGTTCTCTGATTTAAATTTAAATTTTTTTTCAGAAACTCTACAGGAGTCTTTTCTGGGTTTCAACAAAGCACCATGTTCTTATCACACAACTCAACACCAGTGGCACCTCAGGAAACCAGCGATCATGTCTCTAAACAGGCACATTTTCACACATAACTGAACTTGTGACTTTGCTTTTTATGTAGATTTTTGATTTGAAAATGAAGTGCCTGCTACTTTCTGCTATTGTTCAGAATCTCAGTGACTCGTGCTTTAGAGACAATGACAACCTGTCACCCAGACTGTTAGGTTCAGCCCTCTTCACATTGTGTTCCTAGGAGACCGAATTATATTTGTTACTTCCCATTGGTGTCATTTCTAAAAGGTTTTTCCCCCCTCAAATGTTCTCTGATTCTCTCTTGTTCCAAAATAAGGTGTTTAGGGCTATTGGGATCAATTACAGTCACCAGCATTCTTAGCAATGGGACTCATTCAGCGGGCTGATTAGTCAACTAATTCCTCGGTTATAGTCATGTGTTTGAATAGGTCTGGTTCTGATATTGTCAACAGCCTTGTGTTAAAAGTAGAGTCCAATGCGTGTAAAGGCACAGGGTTTAGATTTTTATAAACACAAAGGAAAAGATGAGAATAAGAGCACGGCCTCCAAACTGTTCCACAAAGAAGGCACAGTGGAATACTCCACAGGCAGGAAAATCACACCCTAGGGCAGCTCGTAACACGAAAATGTTCGTGGTATTTCCTTGATAGAAAAAACTGCACACAAAGACTCATGCAATGACCTAAATTTCCTCTAAGAAGTAAAACCATTTTAATAGTGATACGTAAATAACGGGGGGCTGGCAGGCTTCAGGATGAAGATATTAATAATGGCATTGCTAGTTATTGGAGTCATCAGCAGTAATTTCTTCTTGATTTACTAAGTACACTTTCTTTTTCCTGAATGTTATTTTAAGAAGCATGAAAATGATAAAGCCGCTAACATGTATAACATGATCACCATAAGTCACTATGGGATATGTGTTTTCTGTCTGCAGCCAGTTACTATGAAATTGGCTGGATGCTGCACTTCCTGTGTTAATCAAGTCTGGCATTTAAGTGTTCAGGTTAAATACATTCAAAGCTCTGGTAGGATTCGGGTTAACAGGTTTCAAAAAAAAAATAGTTACCCTAAAAAATAAAGTTAGTGGAACATTTTAATTAGGTGCATGAGAAAATTATAAAATGCATTCATTTGGAAAATGAATGCTATTTTCTAACTGTTGGATGACTATTCCAGAAAAAAAGATTGTGTTGTATATTTGTTGACTGATGTCCAGCCAAATGGCCATGACAGTAATCCTGGGAAGTATTGTCCTGTAACAATAAAGTAAAAGTGAAGGAGAAAAGCCATCTTATCTGTTCTGTGTCCAGTTTTCAATGACAAATGACCTCAACATGTGGATTAAAGTCCAGATGAAGCCCCCTTTCAAGCCCATGCCTTGAGACCACACCACACACTCTTTGGGTCCTTGTAGAATGGAATTTCCCAAGAGCTAAAAGGCTCTGAGAATTGCTTATGGAGTACTACAGTTTAGAACGTGAACATCCTCCAAAGCCCCATGTGTCAAAGCCTTAGTCCCTAGGAAGGTACTTTGGGGACCTAGCGGGAAGGCTTTAGGTCACTGGGAGTCTGACTGTGAAGGGGACTGTGGGACCTTATCCCTCAATCCCTCTCCTCCTCTTTTTCTGTGTGGTCACGAGGTGAGTAGCTCTGCTCCCTGAGTACTTCCAACCTGAAGTGCTGCCTTCCCACAGGCCGGAGTGCCGGGGTATAGCAGTAACTTCAAAAGTATGAGTCAAGTAAATCTCACTCGAAGTTGCTCTCAGGTATCGAGTCTATCAAGAGAAGCTTATCAACACACAGAGCTGAGCTCCTTCATCGTCCCTCTACCCAGGGGAAACACACTAGCCATTTCCTATCTTAAATCAAGCTCCAGAACGGCTCCCCTTTGGCCGCTGCACCAGGCTTATACACAGGTGTAGTTCGAGACTTGGAAGTGCCGTCCTAGGTGCCAGCCAGGAAGCGTCTATCGGCAGAATGACTTAGAGCCTGGGTGTCATTTCTTCCCCAGGTCTCTTTGTATTGTAAAGAAAAACCTATGTAGGTTTCATAGGCAGATAATTTTACATAAAAGAAGAGAGAAGACACCCTATTCTGTTTGCTTTTCTTTCTCGCTCTCTTTCTCATACCCACAAGGATATTTCCACTGTCAAAAGTAATGAAACGTAGTCGAAATGCTGCGGTGGGGCTTAGGACAAAAGCATCGCTCTGCAGTGTGCAGAAGACTGTGACAGTCCACAGTCGCATAAACCACACCACAAAACACGAATGACAAGCTCCCAAACGCACTGGCTGTCACATACTACCTACTCTTTTGTAAGCTTCATCCTTGCATTTTTGCAACACTATTGGTTATCCAAGATACATTTAAATTTCCCCTTATTTTTCTGGTTTTTTTTTTCCAAAGAAGGGACGTTTGCTTTAAAAACGTATTTATTTCATGTGTATTAGTGTTGTGCCAGCCTGTATGGATGTGTGCCACATGCGTGCCTGGTACCTGCGAGTTCAGAAGAGGGAGCAAGACCCCTTGGAACTCGAGTTAGGGATATTTGTGAGTCACTGTATGGGTTCTGGGAGCCAGAGCTGTGTCCTCTGCAAGAGCTATAAGTGCTCAAAGCTGCTGAGCCATCTCTCCCGTCCTTCCGTTAATTTTCTAATGAGCCAAGATACACAGACATTTCATTTAAAGAACAGCTTGCCATGCTAAGTACTATCTTTAAAAAAAAATTCCACCAGATCAGTATTTTGACAGACATAATCTATTTTGTGTTTAGTATGTACGTCTGGTCTAGGCAAGACATGCTTGAAGGTAGTAGCTCGTAGCCCCCCCCCTACACTGGCAGTACTATTTTGAGGGCAGACTTTCTGCCTGGTGGAAGGACCAGGTTAGCAAAGACTTCAAGTCCCAAAGCTCTGAAGTTCGTGGGGGAAACTCGGGATAGTCAAGAGCAGAACAAATTTTTAAATGATAGCACGTCTTGTGAGATTCTTAACTGTTTGGGCATATTACTCTGAGAAGGAGGCAATTAGGAAACTCGTGTGAATATGTTTTTCCCTTCTGATGAGAGGGAAGAGGCTCAGGAGGAAGGGTCTGTCCAGTTCTCAGGGTGGGGAAGCTCTCAGACTCAGTCTTCACTGTTTCCCACTGTGTTTCTGCCCTCAGGTCTGAGAGGAGGCACCACAAACACACTCTTAGGTCAGATCTCACTGGCTTTCTCTTCCACAGTTGCTCATCCTGTTCTATCTCCCACCCCTCCCACCCATGACCCATGTTCCAGGGGGCTTCTCTCAGCCAGGATCAGCAACTGATAAAAATGTAGTTTTTGAAGAACATTCTCTTTTTTTCCATTCCCTACTGATAAGTCTGTAAGATACTGTAGGGATTCTCAGGACTAAAGGCAACACCCTGACAGTCACCCATTCTCAGGCAGCAAGGCTTCGCACTTGCTTCTGATTTCTAATCTTGTCTTTCTGATAATGTTCCAGAACGCAGAACTGCAGCGTCTGGGCAGGGATGCCTTGCCGAAGCACGGGGGATTCTGACTCAAGTGTAAGCCCTTCCATATGTCTCCCATTGCCAGCATTTTATCAGAACACTGCACAGTGGGGTTTATGGCTGAGTTCACAGCAATGCTTTTTCACAAAACACTGATGATGATGTTTAGTATTGAAATTCAGGCTCTAGCCTGAACCGGTGTAAATTATTGAAAATGAATCATATCCTCGCCACCAAATATAAGTGAACTCCTGTCTAGGCTGCTTCGTTGGAGGAACACTGACATCAGGAATGGGGCCGCAGAAAGAGGGGGATTCAGCTAGAGCCAGGTTACACCTCACTCTGAGGGTGAAGGGGTGGGTACCTGTGTTGCACACACTACTCCATCACCTTAAATTTGGGGATCTGACATCTTCATTTGAAATAATAAGAGAAAACAGGCTTTAAAAATACAGTTTCATTGAATGTGCTAATGAAAATCAATTCTTGCTTGAAGAAATCCTGCAATAAAAAGAAGTAGACTCTTGATGAGAAAAGGAGATATCCAAAAGGGAAATTGGCTCAAATCACTGTTTTCCAAGATGAAACTCTTCTCATGAAAGTGAGCATTAGGTACAGCAGCTGCTCAGCATTGCCAGCATCTCTCTTTCTCTCTCTCTCTCTCTCTCTCTCTCTCTCTCTCTCTCTCTCTCCCTCTCCCTCTCTTTCTTTTTCTCTCCTCAAACAGCTGGAGAAAACTATGGTTGTTCTCTTGAAGTTCTTAATTAGACGTACCTGGCAATTGGTGTGGAATTAATGTGGCAAAAGTTGTTTGACCTAGTGAGGGG